GGATGTTTTTAATGACAGACGAGGGCAGGAATGTTAAAAACAGGATGGCAGTGGGGGACGGGGACGGGGGCACCTTACATGTCCACAGCTGTTTCTCTTTTGAATTACAGGGCTCTGTGAGCTTCTTTTTTTCCCCCAACCTTCTCCCAAAATGTCTTTTACAGTGCAGAAAAATCATCAAGACTGTGAAAAGATTTGGCCTCGGTGAAGCACCTCCTTCAATAATAGATGGAGGAGGAGGAGGAGGAGGGAGCCTCATAAAAGTATAAACCTTTAACTCCTGTCTGGGACTGGTCTCAAACCTCTCGGCTGTTTTCCTGTCATTACCAACTCTGGAACACGCTGGAAAATGTACATCATGTCATCTTTATGTTTCTCAACGTCGGCAAAAACAATAATTTGGTGAGGAATTGTACAGAACCCCCCCTTCTTCCTCCTCCTCCTTATAGTGTCGTGTTGTATCGTGTCTGAGCCCTGAACCCCAGGTCTTTGCAGTCATGCAGTCGTGGCCGTGAACCGCGGTCACACTCATCATCAAATATTTAAAGCGCTCGCCTCACGGGATGTGCCCTGGAAATAGGATGAGTAAATAAAAAGCGAGGGATTGTCTCTTTCACCTGACTGATTCCTCTGACGAGCCCTGTCTGCCCCCCCGTCCCCCACCCACACCTCCTTCGCTCATTCTTCATTTCTATCATGCCACCTTCTCATCCTCCTGTCACCACTGTTCTCCTCCACTTTAGCTGCCTCCTACTCTCAGTCAGCCAGACTGGAGGATCAGTGAAGCAGCAGCTCTTTAGGACTTTCTTTCATATTTAAATATTTCATGTAACATCTCATATTTAATATCTCATATTTAAATACAAATTTAACATTAAATTATCAGTGACTTCATCACCTTACGTTGGTAAAGTCGATGTTCTATTGGACGAATGAGCTGTCAATCACAGGCGCTAGGCAACCTCACGAATCTTAAATTTATTCCATCAGGAAAAATACATTTTAAGTTTAATTTGTCTTTGGGAGCAATCAATTTTTGGGGTTGCTGGTCAGTAGTGGTACTGCAGTAAAATTGTCATTTATTCTCCAAGCTATCCATCCATCTTTTTAAAATTTTAATTTTAATTTTTGTTAAATAAATGTTGCCTGTTGTGTCTCTTTGTGGTTTTGTGGTTTTACTAATCAAAGTCACACCAGTTTCAGATTTTTCCTCGTCTCCTCTTTGACCTCAATCTTAAGTTGAAGAATCCTGTCGGTACTTGTTAGGACCAGTGGCCCAGAGCGACACAGACCCTCCAACAGCCTGAGAGTTGTTGACATACAGTAAATGTCCATCCCCTGCTGACTTAAAAGCCCCTTTACCCCCATCTGTTTCCTCAGCTGCTGCCTGTGCTTTTGCCAGGCTACGGCAGGGACGGATGAATTTTCCAACCTGTGTGCATAATTGCCACAGCGTGGCAGGAATTAGAGCGCTGATTGCGTCGCTTTAAAGCGCCAATCAGTGGCATTGTTGTTTTGATTTTCTCTCTGATATCAATAAACCCACATTCACACACGGAAGAAGGATTTTTTTCCCCTCTCCTTTGCATTCGTTCTTAAGGAGTGTTCGGTTGTCAATACGACACAAATTGAAATAATTTGCTTCATATTTTATGAACACAGTGTAGCCGTCCAACTCAAATGCCATCCTGTCTCTAACAGGTCTGCCGTGACCTTTTCACATGAACCTCCACTTGAGTGCTGCTGCAGTTAACAAACCACTGTGAAGAGCATCCGATGGGAATATTCCCCCAGAGATGAAGTGATGATAAATTATTCATCTGTAACCATCCAGCAGACATTTGACTCAAACGTCAGCCCCTAACTCTGGTCTGCTAATTATCATTTGATGAGCGCTGCACTACTAATTTGACGCCCGTAAATTAACGCTTCAGATTCCCAGGCCGCTGCTTGTCACACCGTCACACCTTTGAAGAATTATTACTCCATAAATTAGAACCAATAGTTTCGAAGCTACACCGCAGCTCACAGCTCATGTCTTAAACACCTGAGGATGAGGATTAATCTTGAGTGATTATATATGAAAAGATACAGGAATATTGTATGATATATGGAAAATACATTTTGTTCCCCTGGAGTTCACTGTCAAACCTGTTTCACTGAATTATCTAAAGGAAAAAAACTAATAAGAAAGAAATACATTTAAAAAAAAAAGGAATGTTAACAATAGCTAAAATGGCTAACAGATACATTCTATATAGTGAAACTGATAGATTGTCCGAAAGCGAAACAAAAAGTTGTCCATAATATTATAGCTGGAAAACAACTAAAAGTTAAGAGATTAAATAGGAAAAACCCATAAAACTTTAAACGAACACCTGCTAAAGATTAGCCTGAAATGAGCCAAGAATGCATAATAAATAACATAAAGTTAGACATCAAACTGGAAAAATTGTCAAAAAGACCAAACCTTGAATTACAACAGCTGAAATAGCTACAGAAATATCTCAAATTAAATTATGTTTAATATGCAAACAGCTAAAGGTTAGCCAAAAAACAGTACTAATTTTACCATAATATTACCATAATATCATACTATAATAATTTATATTATAAAAAATTAATACTAAAATAATAATTCTTTTTTTTTTATTCTGTCCAATCAAACAATAGCAGTTGTTTCTGTTAGCTCACCTTGACTGAATGTGTCGACGGAGTTGTTTCCCCGTCCCAGGTTGACGACGTAGCCATGTTTGGGTTGGGTGGTGATGTGGAAGACCAGGGAGGCGGGGCCGCTGTCTCTGTCCTCTGCCTTCAGGACTTTGTGGCTGATGGGGAACCCCAGGTGACCTGTGGCCAAGATCTTCAGGGTGGGTGCACCTTTGTTGACCACGATCTGAGGGACGCCGTTGTCCAAGGCCACGATGGTGATCTTCATGGTCTGAGGGTGGCGCGTCTCAAAGACGGTGTCAGGGAAAACGAAAAAGTCTGTGTGTGTGCCGTCGGTGACGGTGAAGGAGAAGGAGTCTTCTGAAGATTCCGTGCCGTCGTGTCTGTAGCTGATGAGGTTTTCGTTCAGGTCTTGTTTGCTGAAGCCGGTCACAGGCGTGGTCAGGTTGTGCAGGAGCTTGCCGTGAAGCGGCAGCTGTGTGATGGTGAACTTCAGCTGCTTCTCGGTGGTGTCCTGGTCCTCAGCCGTGAGCTCGAACGGCGTGATCAGCTTCGTCTCCCCTTCTGTGACGATCAGACTGTTCACAGTCACCACAGGCTTCTTGTTGTCCACGTCCACGATGGAGATTCTGAATGTTCGGAAAATGGGATTGTAGCCGTCGGTGACCTCGAACTCAAAGCTGTCCATTTTGACCTCGTCGTCAGAGGTGTGGATGTAATAAACCTTACTGCCGGCCAGTTCCAGCTGAGAGAAGGAGACGATGGGCATCCCGGGAGTGTCAGTGCACTCCAGGTGACCTCTGACCGGAGCTCGGGTGATGGTGAAAACCAGGTTTTCATCAGGACTGTTGAGGTCAGTGGTGCTCAGAAGGTCAGTGGTCAGAGTCACTCTGCCACCTTCTCTGAGCGAGACGCCTTTACTGACGACGTCAGGAAACACCATGTCGATGCTGCCGACGGTGATGTAGAAGTACCGATCAATCAGAGGGTTGATTCCATCTGTCACGTCAAATTTGATCAAGTCTCTGACGCCCTCCTGGCCGTTGTGCGTATAGAGTATGAGCCCTGCGTCCACCTCAGCTTGAGTGAAGTTCATGCCCAGAGTGATGTTCTCCAGAGACCCAGACAGAGTCTTCCTCAGCAGGAGACCCTGACCGGGCCCAAAGCGGACGATGTATGCGAGCTCGCTATCATCAGAGTCCAAATCTGTTGCTTTAAGCACTTTGTTATTGATCTCCTTGGTCTCGGCGATTTCTACCTCCAGACCGTCGTTGATGAGCATCCTGGGCGTCTCGTCATCCACGGGAACAATCACGACCAGGGCTGTTTTCTGCACAGAGTACTTCCCGTCTGTCAGAGTTACTTCAAAGCTGTCCTCCGTTGTCTCTGAGTCATCGTGTTCATAAATAATGCTGGATGCCTCCTGGATCTCCTCTAAAGTGAAGTTAGTCACGGGAGCAGAACCCGCCGGGAGCTGGTTCAAAATGGCACCGTGTTTGGGAGGTTTGGAAATGATGAACATCAGTTCGTCAGGTGGAACATCGGCATCGGCGCCGTTCAGGATGGGAGTGTCGATGACAATGTTCATTCCCTCCATCACCACAATATCACTCAGATATATCTCCGGCTTTTCATCATTGGCAGGGATGATGACAATTGGGAAGAAATGATTTTCTGAAAAATTGATGCCATCAGAGCATCTAAATGTAAATCTGTCCTCCACCACCTCCACTCCTTTGTGAATACTCTGCACGTAGTAGATATTCCCCTCTCTGATGTCTCTGATTGTGAATGCGCTGATAGCTGTTCCTGATCTGGACTTTTCAGACCCCGGGGCTGGTGAGACATTCTCCACGTAGCCAGCAGAGGGCTGGACGATGATGGTGCAGAGGATGTCATCTGTCGGAGTGTCATTATCATCAGCATCCAAGTGCTGGGGCCCAATGGCAAATTTCTCCCCTTCAATGACGCTGAACTGAACCCCAACTCCCACCTCGGGGGGCTGGCTGTCAACAGGAAGTATGGTCACTCGGACTTGGACCCCGCTGACCCTATTGCCACCGACTGTCCAGTCATCAGACATGTCTGTGAGAGTCAAGTTGAAGCCGTCCAGCTGCGAGGCCAGGCCTATCTCACCGCCAGTGTGCGCGTAAACGACGACGCCGTTGATAATGTCGGCCTGTGTAAACTTAGCCGCTGGGACTCCTTTGACCAATATTTCACCTTTGACCGGAGGATCCTCCACAATGAAGGTCAACTGGAGGTCGTCTGTGTCGTCGTCGTGACCTTGAATGACATTAGTTGTGATTTCGGTGGCTCCGTTTTCCAGCACGTTCATATGTGAACCAATGGTTCCCGCGGGCAGGCTGATGGTCGGGGTCTCGTCATCCACGGGCTTTACATTAACTCTGACCGTCACCGTCACGACGTGGATCCCGTCGCTCACGTCCAGCTGAAAGTCATCACTCACTGTCTCCTCTCCTCCGTGACTGTATGACATCTTTCCCTCCGAAATATCATCAAGTTTGAAAACGGCTCTCTGCTGCAGGTCACCGAATTCAATCTGGACTTTGCCGTGTTTAGGCAGTCGGCTCAGACTGAATGTAATCAGCTTACTCTCTGTGTCCGGGTCCGCGGCGTCCAGCTCGGCCAGGCTGACGATGTGCACGCCGTGTTCGGGCACAGTGAAGCCGGTGTTGGTGATCTGAGGAGGTTTGTTGTTGACGGGCTGCAGGTAGATGGTGAACGCACCTTCTACGCTGTTCCCCGCCGTGTCTTCAACGGTGTAACGGAACTGCACGACGTGTGCTGTGATTCCCAGTTCAACATCAGGGGGAGCGAAGGAGATTTTGTGGTGGTTAATTTGAGCTTGTGTGAACTCTGTCACTTCTGTGTCCAGACTGTCCGTCAGCACCAGAGAGCCGAAGAGTACTGGGTTGTTTTCGTCCGTGTCCGTGGGCGGTTGTATGACCGTGTATTTAAGGTCACGGTCCTCCGAGTCCAAGTCAGTGTAGCGTAAAACTTCTTTGCTGAAGTGAGTGAGCTTGTACTCCTGCACCGTCATCTGCAGCGTGGTGCCAGGGAACAGCACTGGAGGAACGTCGTCGACGGGCAACACGCGGATAATAAACGTATTTTCTTCTGACTCGTTGGGAGGATCGTTGTCATCCTGGACCGTGAACGCAAACTGGTCCAGGACGGTGTCTTTGCTGTGAGGACCTGTGTGTTTATAAAACAACTTTCCGTCAGTGATGTCCTTCTGGAGCCACTCCTTCACCTCCTTCTCATAAACTTCATCCACAGAGTTGAACTTCCAGGAAGACGGGTCTTCCGGTGCGTCGGACTGTCTGAGCAGGACTGTGCCGACGGTAGAAAAGGGAGGACGGATGGTGAATTTAATAGTAGAATCTTCAGAGTCAATATCAGCGGCACTGAGCATGAGCGGAGATACTGGCATCATCTGGTTCTTGAACAGTACCAGACCCGTGTTGGCGTTTATGATGGGCGGCTCATCATCCGTGGGAACTATGGTGATAGGGAACAGGAATTCAACCTCGTTTTTCCCGTCTGTCATCTTGAAGACGACGTTGTCACTGTACGTGTCACTCCCATCATGCTGGTACACAACCGCGCCTGAGGTGAGATCCGCAGGTGTGAACAACTTCCTGTGGGACCCCAGGACCATGAGGTCCCCGTGACGTAGACCGTCCACCACCGTGACAGTGACAGAGTCCAGGTTGTCTTCGTCGCTGATCTCCAGGTTCTGGGCGGTGACCAGAGGCCGGGACTGACCCTCGTACAACAGCTGACCCGTGTTACGGGTGACAACGGGGGCCAAGGAATCCATGGGCTTTACGACAATCATAAAAGCAAACATTTCCGAAACAGCGCCATCTGTGTCCACCACCTGAAACTCCAGCTGGAAAAATCTCTCAGTGTCAGCATCCAGGGAAGGAGGTTTGTAGGCGATCTTCAGATCATGGAGGTCCCTCTGGTAAAAGGAGGTGATGGGGAGGTTCCGGTCGTCGGTGCTGACTATGTAACCTTCCTCGTAGGATAAATTATTGGTGAGGTTGAAAATAAGCTCACCTGGGTCTGACTCTGCATCCTCTGCAGCCAGCATGTCAGGGGTGAAGGCGGTCATGACAAACTGACTCACCTCCATCATCATCATGGACACGAAGCTGGGCTTGGGCGCTGTGTTTTCTTCTCCCTCTTTGATCCGTATCATCAGATGGAAATACTCCTGCTTCACCAAATTCCCCTCCTTGTCGTGGAGCTCCACCACCATGGGAACATAGTCTCTGTTGGGGGATTTGCCCTGGAACGTGTGCTTGTAACGGATGTCAGCCTGAGTGAACTCGTCACAGTTCATCACTGAGGAAAGTTTGTCTCCGTCAATAAGTCTCCCATATCTGGGCAGAGCGCCGCCACTGGACAGCGAAGCCACCTGACATTTGAAGGAGTCTCTGTCGTAAGTAAACTCCAGAGTCTTTTTATCAATGGCTCCACTGACGCCCTTCAGATGATCGACCACCAGGGGCATGTTTTTGGTGAGTAACTCCAGCTGCGTAAAAACCACCTCCACCTCCATCATAAAGGGAATGATAACGGTCTCAGTCTGCGCGTCATACCTGAGCTGCAGCCTCACCCTGTCCTTGGCCGGACTCCTGGAGCCGTAGTGGGAGTAGGTGACTTCGTTTGGACCGAAATCACAGGGAAACTTTTTAGGAGAGAGATGCCCGGGTCTCTGGGAGAGCGGGTCGTTGTCCAGCACCGTGATGCTGCATCGGTCCCCGGGCTGCGTCTGGATCACCAGATCGTTGATGGGATCGATGAAGACCGACCTCCCGAAAGGCACGCGTATTCCGTTGTTGGCCACCAGGATGGCGTCCTCCGACAGTTCGGATCTGAGCGCGTAAAAGAGTCCGGAGCTGTCGGGCTGCGCTGAGAGGGAGGCTGTGCACGAAACACAGAGCAGGAGCCGGACGAGCAGCATCTCCGCGGCGGGTCTGAGCCACAGCATCCACGGAGGAGGTGATGGAGAGAAGAGGAGGGAGGAAAAAAGAAAAAAGAAAAAAAAAACCCTGCTCCGCTTCTTGTCTAAGTGTCTACACTCAGAGTGTCACCGTGTTGGCGCGGAGCCTCCACATTCTGAGGCAGAGCGGCGCGCAGGAGTTTTAAGTTCTGACACTTGAGAGGCTGCGCTACAGTGCCGCCCATCGCTGCACATATTGGAGGATTTGGGGAGTCTTTGTACCTCAGCCGCGTCTGCAATAGGCAGCAGAGCTGACATTCACACAGGAGGAGGGAGGAGGGAGGGAGGGAGAGGGGGGGGGCG